TGGTGAATACGTAGCGGCTACAAAACAATTACTACAGGTGGGCCAGATGGATAGCTGTTTTATGTAACAATCCGCTCCGAGGGGAACAAACAAGGGTGTGTTTTTTTTTTTTTTGGTACTCACCGCATCACCGCATAGGCACACCACAAGACATGAAAGTATGTGTACCTTTGACACGGAGCACGCTGAGTACGCGTAACTAATTTATTCCGGCAGGTATGGTCTTAGCGTACATACAGAACGCATGCAAAAACCTCCTTGTAACCCCCTGTCTTACTTTCGCCGATTGATGGTGCACTCGGGGCGGATAACCCACAACATTCAAAGATGAGCAAAGCTCACACTGATTTTGAACATATATAATTAGTCGCAAAAAACAGTACTTATTAACTAATATCTATTGTTTTATACCTCTGCCATCTGTAATTTGTCTTGGCAGATCTTGCGGTCCCCTGAAGGGTCAGAGCAGCCAGCCAGGGTTTCTTCAGCTTGCTGTAAAAATGTCTTGGCCTCCTGTCCTGCTTGGAGGAATTCTTCATTGAGTCTGATGCCTTCTGAACACTGAACTTGGGAATTCTGAGGTAAAGGATTCAAATTCACGAAAATGATCAAAAGATGGGCTCTTTCTTAACTCTATAAGTTCACATTTCCTGGTTATTACCTCTAGCAAAAGGAGAGGAAATAAACAAGACAGAAACTAACAATATGCAGGATTAAATATTTACTTTTGATTCACACATTTTAAGCATTCAATCTTAAAAGGTTGCTCTCACAAAGGACGGACACAAAACTTACTACAACACAACTGGAGGTTTTCAACTAGCTATATTTTCATCAAGCTTACAACTACAGGGTAAATTCATAAAGAATAATACTAAACGTTTGTTTTTATAAGCACTATTGGTGTCATGGTTCATTCTTCAGTGAGGAGAGACATACCTTTAACTTATCACAGAGTTCTTGATACTCAGTGTTGACAGTCTCTGTGTTAGTTTGAATGGTCGGGTTCCTCACACCAACACTCTGAAGCTCCTGGGTTAGAGGAGACAAAATCTCCACATCTTCTCTATGAGCATCAACCTCCTGGCTGAGCGACTGAGATTAGGTGAATACAACAGTATTTGTTAATGAACTGACTATGAGAGCAATAGTATTTCAGTTCTATACTCTGGCTGTGTCCCTTGCTTACATCTTTTAGGTCTAAAGTATTACTTCGTGTCTTTTGCCTTTGAGAAAGATTTGCATATTTCAGAGGTCAACCAACAGTTTCCAGCAATTTCTTATATTTCACTTTCTGTCTTGACGGAATTGAAGTCCTTAAAACACGTTCTGTCACTTCCATTAGAAACTTTAATTGCAAAAAAAATCAATATTTAGATTTTTAAACTAATAACCTTTGCCTGTTTTAAGGCTGTTTTGTTCTTACCTCTAACATGTCCAGCTTCTTCTTTCTTTCATGTAAGTCTGTGCAAGGTCTCCTTAGGTCATCTAGTATTGTCCTTGCTTCAACCATCCAATCAGACAGCCTCTTACATCTGTTGTTGTGCTCATCCCATTTCTGTAAGGCTTCCTCCAATTGGTCCTTGACTTGATCTGCCTGATCTGTCAAGGCCCCCGATGCCTGCTGGAGGGCAGCAACAGATTTCCGGATGACCTCTTGACCTTGTGTAGCAGTTGAGGGTATTGCGGCAGTTGCAGTGGCAACCGCTTCTTTCAATTTCTGTTTTCTGTCAGGCTGACCCTGCTGAAGCAACTGTGGTTGAGAATATTGCAACTAATGACACTCAGTATTAACATTGCCTATAAACACCAAAATGAATTCAATACAAGCGAACACTGAAGCAAAACTATTACAGATTTCATTTTTGGTCAGCATGATTTCATGGTAGCCCTGATGGGACAACATCCTCATGATTTTCTGTTGAACTTGAAAAATATCAAGATCCCTCCCAAATTTTGGCACAGGCATAGCTGCAAAAGCTTTCGTATCTATGGATCTTTGCAAATGAACTTCCTTGCAGAAAAGCAAATTTACGCTGAAAATTTTTTTCTGATGCTACTTATGAATTTCTTAACAATGATGTCCCTTTGAGGCCACTATGGCTTTTTGAACTTTACCCACTCAAATGCAATGAACCTGATTGTTCTTCTGCTAATGGCTTTACCTTCAGATTGTCCACCTGTTTTTGCAGTTCATCTTTCATCTCTGGTATCCCTGTGTTCTCTTCAAGTGTTCTCTCCATCTGTTCATGCCAGGCCTTGCAATCCTCCATGCTCTGATTGTACAATCTATGATCTGCGACCGCTTTCACTGCTTGCTGGGTGACATCCTGAAATCAAATTGACAGTTTGTTTCAATCAGTCCGCTTGGTTTAACTATGCTGAATTTTACTGAAACACATCAGCCAAAGGTACAAAATAAAGATCTTGGATCCTTGCATGTGTATTTATTGTTACTTGTTCCCTAGCAAGTTTTTCTTAGCACAAAAATGTGCTTCACAGGATCTGTTCAGACCAGCTGTACGAATTTCAACCCAGTGTTACCTCAGCTTTGTCTTTCAGGCCATTGTATCTAGCAGCAAGCTGCTCAGACAGGTTGTCGTTAAACTGATGAGCACCTTGTAGGATATCGGCCAGTGCTGGTTCATGGAGGACAATGTCGTCAGTGAACTCCTGAATAAAAGAACAAGGATGATGAGGAGAGGACTCAGTGAGTCTGGGTGATCCCTGAAACTGAGACTTCAGTTGACTGAAACAGTTGATGATGAGTGATCAGTTTGAGGATCGTTTTCGGGAAATTTTCATCTGAGAAATGAATATGTATAAATTTTATACAAGAGCTTGTTTGCTATCTCAGGGTGGAGTCATCTCAGACACAAAATCAAGCTATCAAAGCACCTAACAAGTAACAAGCATATGTATCATAATTCCTTGATCACATTCCATCCAATAATCTAAATATCGTACTGATTTAAAGATTCTTACCAGATCAATAATTGAAGGGGATATGTTGTTACATTTTGCCAGGGGGGAATGCACGCACATACTACCAGGTAAATTAGCTGGCCTGGACCCATGTAGCTCTTTTTGGACTGTCGCATTGTCACATCGTCTAATGAGATCTTTTAGTCTTACCTCGCATTTCTGTAGCTTTTTCTCCTTTGCTTCAAGATCTGAGCCCAGCTGGGAAGCCTCTACTAACTCCATCTCCGTCTTACTCAGCCATCTAGCAAACTCCTCCCTCTTGTCATCATGCTGGCCTCTCTGCCTCAGCATCTCAGCGATTCTAGACTCTGCTTCAGCAGCTTGGGCCTGCAGGGCATTCCACTGCTCACTGAGCTCTGAGGCACGGTGACTGAGTTTGTGCTGACCGGCCGCTGCAGTGGAGGCAAGGGCTTTGCTGGTGCAGTCATCGAGCTGAGCAAGTTTGGACTGGCCCTCTGGCCACTTGGCTTGGAGTTCCTTTGATCCAAAATTAAAGAAAGAAGTATGAGTCACCCACTTTTAGTTGTTTTACCAAGACACGTGTCTTTCATCTAGTTGTGGTTATCCTTTCATATACATTAGTTAGTCTAGCATTAGTTACCTTGTTAAAAACTCTGTCGTCATCCCAGAGTTGGCCATCAACCTTCATTCTTGTATTTGTTATCTTAATGAGTCTTTACCCTGGTATTCGTTACCTTACTTTAAGCTGAGTCTCCAGCCTAGTACTATGTTACTGTAGGCCATGTTTGTACCGTACTACTGGTTATCTCACAATCAGCTTTCATTATCCTGGTGCTCATTACCTGACAATGCCATGTCTGCAGCCTTGAGTTGGTTTTCTTATTGAAGGAGCTACATTTTACTCTGGTATCGGTTACCTTACCATAAATGGGTCTTTACTCTAATAACTTTTATTTTACTGAAGGCTCCTGGTGTGGTTATCTTACCAGAAGCTGTGCCTTCTTGGCCTGTAATTCTTCCACCTCTGTCGGCAGGCTAGTCGTCTGACTCAGTCCCTCCTCTATGGCTGTGATGATGCCTGACATGTCGTCTGCTGCCTCCTGCCAAGATTCGTGAGTGAGGACTGCTTCTTCCTTCTTCAATTGAATGTCCTGCAAATGAACAAAACAACTGGAGTGAGAGCTTTCCACTTCTTCAAATGGCTGAACACATCGTCATGTATGTTGGAAATCATAATTTCATCAAAACACAGAAGATGTAGTCTTCAAAGATTCATCATCCCTAACCCGCTCCTGATTTTATTATTTTTTTTAATCTTTCCCAATCCAGAAGAATTGAAGTGAGATGCCTACTGAGTGAATTACCTAGAACAAAAACTGTTTCATTTAATAGAACCCCAAAGGACCTGATGGTTATCTTTGCATTTGGAGTGGTTAAGAGCAAAAGATGTCTGGTAAGAAACCCTGCTACTTAAAACTGTCCCCTCATTTCAAAGTTTAATAGGTGATGGTGCTGCTACAGAAATGATCAAATTAGTCCATTATAGCCTAATGGATAAAATTGCAATCAATATCTAGTAGGATTTGTTGCTTTCGTGCTAGTTAAGTCTGCTGTTCAGGTCAGTTGGAACCAAAATGACAAGTCACCTGGGTATTCCTAGAAGGAGTCAAAACTGTGTGTATTCATCCTATAATTCCATTGTGTGAGACTGTAAGTTTTAAGAGAATACAGACGTGGCGTGCTTACGTTCAGCCTGTCCAGCAGCTCCTGGTACTGCTCCTGTACACTCTCAGCCTGTGCTTCAACTTGCTGAGTGACATCTACCACATTGTTGGCAGCCAACAATTCGGCCATCTGATGGAAGTTTTGGATTCTGTCGGACTGGTTCTCCATCTCTGCTTGCAGCAACTGTTGAATGAGGGCACCATTCAGACTGAATGTTCAACATTTTAACAACTCAAAAATTACGAAAGACATCATGTGTAGTGTTACAAAGGGCTTGTACAAAAGGCCAACAAAGAAAAGGAAAATGTCTACTTTTAGAAAACAACTTGAAAAACTATTCCACGGTGTCACTTTTCATAACAGGAAAAAATTGCCTCGATTCAGTTTCCAATCATGCACAGATGTCAGACTGCCAAATATACACCATTGACCCATTACCTCAGCACTAATATTCGTTGATGAAAAATGTTTTCTTGGGACAGAAACTGAAAAATCAAGCAACATCATATGCCAACAGTGTCAGTGATGGCCCAATACACCAAAAATCCACAGCCAAAGAGTGTAAGTTTGCTCATCCTTGCAAAAGCAGTTCCCGACCTTGACTTCTTCAAGATGAGAAGCCTTCTCAGGAAGATTCTCTTTCAGCTGGGAAGCCCTGCCAACAGACTCGTCCCACTTCTGCAGCCGTTTATCCAGGTCCTCAAGATCGGCCTCGTACTCCTTCCACCTGCGGATTCTTTCCTCCAGCAGGGCCTTGCACTGGTTCAAGCCGGCCACAACTTGGTTCCACTGGCCCTGCAGCAGCTGGATGCGGGCCAGCATGGAGGACTGACCATCAGGAGTGGTCCGAGGTGCCAGGGTGTCCTGGGCCTGGACGGCCAAGTCCAGGTGGGACTGAATCTGAGCCTGTTTGGTTAGCAGACTCTGTTGAAGTGAAATTGGTTTGAAAGAACATGTAGTAATACTTATAAACATTAATCACAGATGGGTTTCTCCATGACTACTCTACATTTGTATTAGTAAACTTTCATGTTCCACTTCATGGATCTGCAAGAAAGATTTATTTCATAGAAAACCGATAATTCATCTCAAAGGTACATTACAGGTCGATACATGAAAAAGATTCTGTCTGTTTTTTATAAACATGCTTCTTCAAGTATCTCTTTAGTGCTCGTTTCTAGGTGTGAGAACAAAATCTCAACCAAAATGGCATGCCTGAATGGTATTTTTTCAGTTTAGGTTCCACTTCTTAAACAACGGCATCAGCACACTTAAGGAATGCCAAAATAAATCTGTACAGGTCATTTGGTACAGCACTTGAGTAACATTCTAGGAGGCTGCATGTCAAAATCTTATTGGTCCTCTTCCTTCATCTTTAAACTTTCACTGAGTGTCTTTCCTGTGATGAAATACCTCTGAGGTTTGCAGTTTGTCCTCGCACACATCCCGATTGCCTGAGGGGTCGATGCAGGTATCCAAGGTGTCCTTGGCTTGCTGTAAAAATGTCGCTGCCTCATCAGTGGTCTTGATGAAGCCTTCATGCTGCATGATCCCTTCTTCACACTGGGCCACTGCCTCCTGTTCAGGCCATATGATGTATTATTTTCAACTCCGTCTCTTATAATAAAAATGTCACTCTGATCACACGCAAGGTGAGCTGCATGAGCTTTTCATCATTTTGAGAAACTTTGATTATTCGAAATCTTCTAGCTCTAGGAAGAAGAAATCACTGTTGCCCATCAGACTATTTGCCTTCATTTCTTACTACAAAGCAACTTACAAATCTTGGGCCCTGGCTCAAAAGCACTGGTTAACCATAAAGACAGTAGACTATTTTTCTAATCAGCTGTCTTGCCCTGATGATTACAGCAAACCAGTGAAAATTTGGGAAAACCTCTTGCTGTAACTCAGACACAACAACAGTGGGTGAACAATATAAAGCTGTTGCTGCTACAGAAAGGTTGCCAGTGTACCTTGACTCTTGTTTGAATCTGATCATAATCATCCTGCAGCTTCACAGCTTGCTCTACTGGCTTCTTGGTACCACACAGTGCATGGACCCTCTCTGCCTTGTGATCGACAGTGGTCAGGGTAGGTCTCTCAAAGTCAAGTCTCTCAGCTAAGTCCTGAAGGAAAAAAGCCAACAGAAGGTCAGTGGAGACACTTCACTTGGAAAAACATGTCGAGGAAACCTGATTCAGCAAACATCTTTGTCAAGATTAATACATGTTTCCACTACCCAAAGATGTACCTTAGATCCAGGTAAAAGTTGCATAACCTTTTTAGTACTCCGGTTTGATGTGAGATCCCATACATTTTTTAACGTGTCTGCTTGAAAGAGGTTATACTGGATGTGAGGAGCTGAAGGTGAGAGATTTATACTTGGATACATGATAACAAAATGGGTTAATGGGAGTTTTCATTTTCACAATACCTGTAGGTTTTTCAGCTGCTTCTTCCTGTCCTCCATGCTGGTGCATGGCGCCAACTCCTCTCCCATCAGCCTCTCAACTTCCTCAAGCTCCGAGCACAACTCTGTGGCCGTCTCCTCAAAGTCACGGCAGTCCAGCAGGCAGGACTCAAGGGCCTTCTCAGCCTCATCTGTAGCCCGGTGCAGCCGGGCTAGGTGGTCCTGCCTGGCCTGAGCCTCCCGGGTGAGCAGTGGTCGCTGAGCATCAGAGAGCAGAGGCAGGACCTTGTCCAGCTTGGTACTGATCAGCGCCAGCTGAGAGGCATGCTGGGGCAGGGAATGGCTCTTCAGGTCCTGAAACCAGACAGAAATAAAGTGCTTCACATCTGTACACTGTACCTTGTGTTCCATTCAGAAAAAAGTAGCTACTGCAAACTTCTTGCTGAACCCAAACTCTTCCATCTTAAAATTCAAATAGAACTGACTAGTGAATCCAAATGGTTTTTCTAAAGGTCTTCAAGACATACTCTGTTAGAATGTTTGTAATTTCTTCCTGTTCCTATATAGCCTCTAACCTCAAATGGATCTGAGCCTAACTGAGGGTAACTGATACAACCACCAAAGAGGTACTTGCCTAAATCTTGTATTAAATGTTCAAGTATAGTATTTCAAATTGGCAATACCGTAATGAAGTTTTTCATTCTGCAAGTTATCTATTTTAAGTGAATGAAAAATTGAACTTTTTCTACTGTTTTACAGATTTTTCAAGAGAAAAACATCCATTTGCAAAATAAAAGCATAGAAACAAATAAAAGCATAGAAACAGAATACAAGATTGTTTGTACCGAACATTTTGAAAATAAGGTCTGTTTGGAATGCAAACTGCCCTGTAAAATTGTTGAGAACCAAGCATTGTGACAACTACCAACCTTAACATCATTGAGTCTCTTCTCCAGTGTCTCGGGTTCGCCCTGGGTGCTGGCCGAGTTACTCAGCTCATCCAAGTCATAATCAATCTCACCCTCCACCTCTCGGAGTAAGTTGCGGCACTGGAGCAAGAGTGCATCTGTCAGACTCTCATGAATCTGAGGCAGAACAAGGTGCAAACATTAGGCGATTGTATACTTTGCACATTGTTACAAGGGCACTCACAAGCTGAATAATGTTAAAGCAGTTCTCATGTCTAAGTTCACTGTTTGGTTCTGTCTACATCATGGTGATTTATGGACCTGTATGTTGAAAACCGGTCCAAAACGAGTGGGTAATTTAAAACACTGTAGTTGAAATCAGAGCTGTTCCAATGGGTTAGGGGTTTCAACACGACACAGACTTCTTTACATCATAAAGGGGTCTTTCTCAAACTGTGTACACTGTCAGCTTACTTGATGATCGCAGAGCGCAACAGCATCAAACCTCTTGCCCAGTGCATCCACATCAGCCTGCAGCTGGGTAGCGTTGGACTTGGGGAATTTCTGCAAGAGCATCTGCAGATCATTCACCAGGGTGTCAAAAGCTGGTCTCATGTTGGTCAAATCACTTTGTACAGCCTGAAAGAGGAAATGGAACATTCAATTCAATTCACTGAGAATTACTTTCATTACAAATTGCATCAGCAGTAACAGTGTCAAATTTTATATTAGAAAACTACAGTTGAGAGAGTTATTTCATGCATATGAAACTTGTGGACGAGAGATTTCAGTAAAGACAAATGCCCTGAACAGGATCTCACATTTGCATATACCTAGTATTTAACTCACGAGTCACTTGTGCCTCCCAAAACCTCCCCACTCTTTACTCTCTGTACTATCCAAACCTGTCCCAGCACTCTACGGTACAACAGATTCATGATGAAGCAAACAAAATGTAATTCAAATGGCATCTCTCTATCCAGCATTCTGCAACACTGAACTGATCTTTTGAAATGGTTTGATTGTAGAAATCAGATGACTAATAAGTCAAAATGCTTGGCCATGCGGTGTACAGGGTTTACAACTTGTGTGTTCAGGTAAGAACAACTTCCCTGTTATCTAGATTAGGTCAGTAAGATTTGAAACTTTGTATGGTGGAGGCTAGACTGAGAGCGGGTTTGCCGGTATGCCGAGTGGATTTGACTTCTCCCAAGAGAAGGGTGGTTCTGGGAAGAATTAAGGAATGTGATTTCAACGTTTTGACCAGAAAGCTCTGGTCAAAAAAATCACACGTCTGAAACAGCAAATCTACATATGAAGACCTTTCATGTCACTGAGATGTGTCTGCAGTTCATTACCTGACACTCGGTGATTTCATCAATGATACCATCCTCAGAGAGACTCAGGTCTGAGCAGCGGGTCAGCCTGTCCTCCAACTCTTCCAACCCAGATGTCAGCTCCTGCAGTCGAGCTCTGAGGTTGTCCCTCTGGCTGGTGAACTCTCCTAAGCTGCTCTCGGCACTCAAAGCCAGCTGAAATAGAACAGAGAAAAAACCTGGCACTGTTAACAAAGTTCATCTGGATTGTTTATATGGGGCTGCTTGGGTGAATACACAACCTGGCAAAGTAATAACCTCGCAAATTTTCAAAATAATATTAATTCAGCTTTGCATGAGGGATGTTATTTTTATATCAGGTATTGACCATGGACTGATGTAAGTAATCATATTGTATTCCCAGTGAGGTCCGAGAGCTGCTAATGTCTCAAGCTTGCTCGGGTGAGATTTGAACCCATGACTTACAACTTCACCTCATGTGCTGGTGTTTCCACTAGTATACAGGGAGTTGTGGGTTCAAATCCATCTGAAAGGCTTGTAATTTTTCATAAACATAGTGTGAACATACATGCCGATGTATAAGCAAACCTAGAATAAACTTAAGCAAATTTTGCCAAGCAAAAATCAGCAGGGAACCACTCATGATCAAGTTGCAATGTACAACGTTTTGGATTGGCAACCCACTGCCACTCAGCAGAACTGTTCCGAGATAAGCAGATTGAGTCCTTACAAGACGAAGACAATAACTTCTTGCTTACCTGCTTAGCTTGGGTGATATTAGCCTCCACTCTCTGGACAGCCTCTTCTGCCACTGGTATGGCTGCACCAGGGTTCAGTGACCTCAACTCCTGCACAGTTGATGCTAGAAGGGTGAGCTCAGCTTCACGACTAGACACATCAGTCTGTGGATACAGGTATTAAAGAAACGAAAGGTTGAATGAACTAGATGGATACAAAAGATAGAGTTAACATGGCTGTCACAGTCTCCCATGCAGGGTGGGGCAAAAGGGCAGGGAATCTTTTGAGTCATTCCGCTCCAAGCAAACGCGTGCCAAAGATCAACTTGACGAGCCATTGGTGTCTGAATGGTTTTACGTGTCTTTTTTAAAGAAATGTCATTTCAGGCATTATCTTCCTCTCCAGTAAGCCTTGAGATTCTCTCAAATCCAACTTTATGATACCTTTGCAGGATTTAGGAAGGAAGGGACCTACCAGTGCCGCTATACACAGGGCTTAATGCTCCCTGTAAGATCATGTACAAAGAATGCTCCATTGGTTTCCCACAAAGTCATGGAGATATCAATCAGGTTTCTGACTAAAGAGCCTACGGAGTTAGGAGTGACAGACCTTGAATTGATCCAGCCTGGCCTTGGTCCTCCCCTCGTCCTCCATCTTGGCTGGCACCTGCTCCAGCTCCGTCACCTCGGCACCCAGCCAGGAGGCCAGGGCCTCCTCCTGGGCTTGCACCGCCTCCCACAGCTCCAGCTGCCTCCTCAGACTGGCCATCCGCTCCTGGATAACCGCCGAGGAGGATGCGAGGGACGATGGTATGGAGGAGGCTTCCTGGATGAAGGAAGGCGGGTCAACAGGTAAGCCGGTCGGTAGCATCTTGAGGAGGGATGTCACATTCTTGACAACGGATTGCAGATGCTGGGCTTGGTCTTGAAGGGGTGAGAGCTCCTCGCTTGCAACCTGGTTGATGCATTGTTTGAAAAATATTTAGATGTAAAATTATGACAAGACCAACTCAAGACCAACAAAGACCTCCAGCAGTGTTGTATTCAAGCCCATCACAAGTCTTTTCACAAGTCCCTTCACAAGATCTGTCATAAAGTAACAAAGTGAAAAATGACAAAAGAATACTTTTGTCAAAGCTCATTTGAATAGCTTGTGAATTGGCTCTAGACTGAATAACTTGTGATGGACTTGAATATAACACTGACCTCCAGTCTGAATTCCAAGCACAAGCTTTTAAAATGAACTGCAACAAACACATTCCTTAATCACTCTTCACCATAGTATTTGTGACTAGTCTTATGACTAGACTTGTATCTGTCCTTGTGTCTTGTCTCAACTACAATTGATTTAAAGGGAGTGTTGGTCTTCCATTTGTTGTTGTTGTTGTTGTTGTTTCTACTTGATACTGATGGGCTAACGGACCAATCTCAATACCTGGTGCTGCTGGAGCAGTTCTTCTGCCTCCTCCTTGCTGCTGCATTTGATTGGCTGCCCGGTGACCATGGAAACCTTTCCCAAGGATTCCAGAATGGGTCTCTGGCACTGGTCAAGCTCTTGCCACTGATTGAGCGCTGTTACAAGTGTCTTCATGGTAGAGTCTATCCTGTGACGTATGCTAAAGGAGTGGCTGTATACGGCATCAAGAGAGGCTTGGATTTCATCCTGCTGGGCCGGGTTCACTTTCTGAATACGCTTCCCAAGACTCTTGAAATAGTCCATGTTGGGCTCCTCTTGGTGAAACTGTGCATGACAGGCCTGTGGGTTGTATTTAATCAGAGGATGCTGTTGTTAAACAAAGACTTTAACCAGGCATGCGACTTGGGCTCTGACCAAAAAAAACAAGGAAATGTCCATCTCTACAAGACTTTGTTCAGTGTTTTTCAATTTTCAATGGCACGAGTGTGAAGTGAAAAACAAGGATATCAGCTAATCCCAGGAAAAGTTGCACACTCGTTTAAAAGGTTGATCTATAGTTCTGTCACACTGAGTCTGTGCAAGTTGTGAATATGATCTGAAATCTAGATAATGTTAAATTAAGGGAGTGTGCACTGGTTAAAGAATAAGCAAAAAGGGGAACTGAATTAATTCGTTGAATGATTGGCAACGACAAACACATGTCAGTTGACGACAACTAAGAACACTGTTGCTTTTATGGATATAGAAAACACTTTTCTAATCTTTTCAAGTTTCAAATGAAGTTGGATAGATTGACTTTGAACTTTTAGTTGCATGTTGTTTAAGGGCTTGTGATACTCAATGTGACTCAGCAATCAAATTTTTTCATACCAGATAAAAAAATCTAAAGGAAGTACCTGATAATCTTTTAGACAATCCTGAAGGTCCTCTGCACTACTGATGTCCCGTGTATCCTTCTTGTCTAGGTCTGCATTGATGCTGTCCAGCTTCTCAGACAGAGCTGTCTTCTTCTTCATAAACTCCTCCATCAATCTGGCTCTCTCTGACAGCTGGTCCCTCTGTGAGGACAGCTGTAATCTCAGCTCGTTGTGCTTGCTCCTTAGCTTTGACATCTCAGTCTCCGCAGACGAGGGTGGCTCTTCTTCATGGACAATGCCCCGCATCCTGGGTCTCACCTTAGCTCTCTGGGCCTGGCTATCGATATCCAGCGTCCTGCCGCGCCACTCTGCCAAGACAGGCGTCACCGCCTCCAGTTTCTCCATCAGCATCTCAACGCTGTCTTCTGCCAGGTTCAGCTGGCTCAATCCTTCCTCCACCTCCCTCAGAGTGTCAACGATCGACTGCCGTGTCTTGTAGAACTGGAGGAGGAAGTTAAGAACCCCAACTCGCACTGCCACCATTTCCTGGACGCCGTCTTGCAGCATGGAGACCCCAGTCACCTTGCGGGAGAGGGTGAGCTCCTGGGTGGCATCACACTTGCTGCAGATGGCCTGAACCATGCCAGTCAGGTTGTCCACCCTATCACATTGGCTCCTAATTCTGGCTTGTGTAGCCTACAAAGAGAAAAAAATCACACTCACAAATATTACTGGGTTTCCTCAGAGGCAAGGCAGAGGACTCAGACCTATAAAAATGCCAAAGACACCATTCAATATTTGACCAGGTCCTGACAACCTGAAATACAAACCGATCACGTAAAACTTCACATATCAGAGTTCACACTGTCCTGACAAGAGCTTAAAACTTTCAAACTTGGTACCAATTATGAGTGTACTTTCATGTTACAGTCATCAGTCTGTAAGGTTATGCTAACCACTCATTACTGTTGGATCAAATATGACAACTAGGCCTTTTGTTTACCACGCAGTTCCATGAAAGTGGATTTGAGAAATCAGATGATTTTTCTTCCTGTATATGTATTGAACCTTATAAGTAAATTTGGGCTTTCAATTGTCAAATTAAAACAATTTAAAGATTTCTCTGACTCTTGATCTTTAGTACCATTCAGTATTCAAATATTTTCTGATTTGTTCACTGAAGAAAACTTCAAATTTTACGACAGTTATTAAAAATACCTCTGCCTTCTTGATTTCCTGCTCCACCTTATCTTCATACACCTCAATCCACTCCGACTGACATCTCTCATCCTCTTGGAGGTCAGTGGTCAACCTCTCCACTTCTTGGATGAACTCTTGCCGTTCCTTCAGGGTTATCTGGACCATCTCCACCCCTTCCTGGAGAGCCGTGGAGACAGACGAGAGTCTTGCATCTGTGGTCTGGAGATCGCCTCGCAGCCCGGCCAGGCCATGAGGGTTGGAGCAGTGTTGTTGCCAAAGGGTTCGATTCAGGGCATGGAACCTGTCAATGTCTGGCTGTGCTGATTGATGACGAGCACACAGTTCCTATTACAGGGGAAACAAAACAGCACAATTCCCTTCAAACATTGGTTCTCTACACAATGCAACAGGCAGAGAAGTCAGGGTTCGTTGTGGAAAAACAAGATGTCACAACAGATTTGAAGCCACACAACCATAAATGTTGTTCCCACAGACACAGAACTGAAACCAGTAACTCCTTCATCAGTTTGGTCTTTGATACATTTGATGATACAAAAAACAGCTTGAAAAGAGAATGCATCGTCAAAATGTCAAATGACCGATAAAAAAGAAATCAACATTCCTCCAAATGCATCTTCTTAGTATTCATTATCTCACCATAAACGACAATATTTCGTTCAACTGCTGATCAAAAATGTTGTTTTGGATATCAAAATGTTAAACACTGATAAGGGGAATACCAGTAAGAATCAATAAGTAACATATGATATTTCGTTTGGTAACCTTTTATATAGAGCCGGACACAACTCTTCAGTGCTCAGCAAACTTACATTCTAAACAACTTTACAAAACTCTAAACAATTCAAGTCAATTAACATTACTAAGAACTTAAGGACCAAAGTCACTGAGGAAATTTTTGCTTGACAAAAACATGTTACCAGCTGAAGTATTTTGCATTGTACATACTGTGATTGGTTCAAAACTGATGTTTGGTTAGTATTTGAAAATAAAGGTTTGCAAAATTGAATGTATCACTGAAAATGCCTGCACCAGTAAGCAGGAAGTCATGGGTTCCAATCCCACCAGAGCAAGCTTGTTATTTTTTTCCCAACTCTTAGACCACACTAAGAATACAGGATGAATCTATACATCGGTTTAAGGGTGAAACTCACAATAAAAATCAGTTCTATGTAATTTGGCCAAGTCTCCAATAGATCTACTAATGTACCTTGAGGGTGTCAAGTTGTTTCTCCAGTTTGCCTGTATTGCCGATGTACTCCCTGCACTGTGTCATCTCTCCTTCTTCTAGCCTCTCCAGTTCCTGGTGCACCCTGCCCTTCACCTCCTTGTACTCCCTCCACAACGCTTCCTTCTCGCTCAGGTCACGCTGCAGGCCATCCATCTTCTCCTGGATGTTCTGTAAGCGGTCGGTCAGACTGCTGACCTCTGATTGGATGGCCTGATGGGGCACCAGCCGGCTGGACAGTTCCTGGATGCTGGCCAGGATGGGTTGGTTCTCTTCCACTGCTCTGGCAAATGCCTGAGGAAAAGAACCAACAGTTACAGTGAGGCTACAAAGAGTGATGTCAAAATTACACATCAATAAACATTGTGTCAAAAGGTAAAACTCTGCACTAGTAAACATGAGGTTGTTAGTTTGAGTCTACTCTTGATGAACTTGTTGATAAATATAAGTTATTGAAAGGCAAAGACCACATTTTAACAAAATAATTCTTTTTTAAAAAAATTGCGGATGACTAGGCATACACAAGTTTTCTCACAGCTTTCAAGTACAATATACTGGCTACACATGCACAACAGAACAGCTGTTTTTTGGTTCTTTGCAGCGCCAAGTACCATAATGCAGAACCATCTGAAGAGGACGGGTTTTGAAGAGTTTCTTTTATGTACTTTAGATTTATAAACCTATTTTGGATTTAAACTGTGGCTGAAATACCCATATGAAAAAACAAGTGACTAAACTGGTCTCCTAAATTACTCGCTAAATATGTAACTAAGCAATGTTTTTTACAATACCACTGACCTTCTGGTCAGTGATAAATTTCTCCACATCCTCCAAAGAACTGCAATCCTTCCCAGTAGCCTCTCCCTCCAGCCGCTGTTCAGCACCATCAAGTGCCTTTTTGAGCTGCTGCACCTGCTGCTGGTACAGTTGATGCTGGGATGCTCCCTCAGCTAGCCTGGTACTTTGCAGCTGGGCCCTGGAGCGAAGAGTCTCCCACTGGCTTTTGAAACTAAGCTGCTGGGCCATGAGGGACTGGGTCTCCAAGTCAGGGACATCTTTCGTCAGGTCTCCCAGGGCTTTCTCTTGGTTGTCAAGGTTGCCCTGCTTGTCCAAGATCTCAGCAAGCAACACCTGAGAAACAGTAAAGAATTTCCGAACAATTACCACAAAAGTCTACTTTCCAAAGTTTTTGGCAATATTTATTAATTGCATAATCTTTTTCATACCCTTATTATACAACAAAAATTTGTATCTCCTGACCGGGTAAAAATAGTTGGAAAATATCCTGACTCTGGCGCTTATCCCACTTGCACCATCACTGTCAATTAGGCTTATCAATTCCTGCTTGGCTGTGCAATTGTTTCCCTCAAACTGTGTGGGATTTACAATTTGGGTCTCCCAGTCCCTACTCGGTCTTGTAGCTCTTTCTTAGACCCATCTGGGGTACTGGTCCCACACCTTGAACTGCCATTTCCTTCCTCAGCCTCCTTTGACTCTAGCTCTCAAGGTGTAATTACTAATATCTCATAATTGTGTTGGTCTAAACACAGTTAGGGTCATTTCGATGTTAGGGCTTGACGGACCAGAAATCGACTCAAAGCATGACGGAATTGACTCAGACTTCATCTTCTCCAATCGATCTCACCTGAGCCTGTGTGAGTGTCTCTTCCGGCATATCTGTTGCTTTCTCTAGCTCGTCCAGCTTGGTGCCAGTCGCTTCCAGCCACTCTACCGTCCTGGCCTGGTCTGCCTCCAGCTTCTTCCACTGTTCCTCAAGGCCTCTCAGACCGTCCAGCATCTTGGCAATCTCGTCACGGAGGGCTGCGTTCCTCGATTCGAGGCCCTGGAGGTTGTCTTGTAGGGTCTGCTTGACAGTGACGTCAGCCACTGCTGTCTGCATCTGTCTGTTCTGGCTTCTCAGAGACATCAGGAGTGGTTTCAGCCGGGCCTGTTCATCTTGCAGAGCCTTCAATGTCAACATTTGTATTTATTAATCCAAAACATCGAGTTCAATAAGTGTGCTCTTGCCTTTTGTCAATAGTTTCTGAGTCTTGTCTTTATTCTAACAAACACAAAAAATCTTGTCAGAAATGGACAACATGGCTAGATAGTTTACTAGTTGAGTACCAGTACAGTGTTTAAGAGGTTGTAGGTTCAAATCAATTAAACGTCAAAGTCCTTTCCTTCGCTCTGTTAAAGAAAACTCAAGAATTGGTTATCAGATGGTATGGGTCACAGTCACAAGGATCTCCAATCCAATCTTCCAATCTCCAATAGAATTACTATGGCACCAATCCACAATAAAGAGCAGCACAGAGACGTTACCATGGAGAGGGAATTTTCAAAGTGCACTTTGGCAATTGTGAAACCATTCCTATTATCTCCATAAAAAAACAGATGTTCCCTAAAATGGAAATGGATCTGGTACCTTGACTGCACTAAGTTTCTCCTGCACTGGTTGAAGACCAGCCAGTGGTGTAGGCTTATGGACTTCAGAAACAGCTTTTCCAAGGAAAGACTCCATCTGTCGTTTATCATTCTCATAGGTTTGAACCTGTTTCAGGCACTCCTGTAAAACAAGAAAAGATCACCTTTGAACTAAAATGCACATATCCATACACAACTGACAAATGCACAACATTTGTGATATCAACACAAAACAATAATTCGCCTGTCACTTGTAGAATATACATGTACTGTGGTCAAATATTTACAATGAAATATTCATGTTCAACTTAAGAATGTCCATTAACACCCTGCTGAGGGTTGATATGGCTCTGGTCTTGCAGCTAAACACACCCCAGTAGCTTCTCCCAATTCTAACCACTGATAGATACCACTGGGGTGAGCCTGTTGGACAACTGTGACAGTGGGCTGCAAACATTGGACAGACTATAAAATTATTATTACACCTTTTTCAGAGTGACTGATTCTCTCAAGACATTACAATTTACAAAGAGAATAAAAATATTTAGCAACTGCCAATATGAGGCCACAAATATATGTTTTCAGGAATTCTTGACACTAAGAAGAACATAAAAGAGACACTTAACCTCTTCACTCCGGAACCCTGGACAGCCGCGGCTTTGTGTGAGGATTAGTGCATACCACAAATACATTTTATTCATCATGCACCTGCTGGACAGGTCTTTGCATACTGGGCATACCACAGCCCAGCAGTCAGGGTCAAAAGAATCCCGGCGTTAAGGGGTTAAATTGGGTGGCTAGAAACACAGGACTAGATAGCCGGCTCGGCTTATAGAGGCTGGAATTCTACAGGCCAAAGGGTCGAGCATCGCTTCAGCTGCTGATAGCCCCTGTATTTGTTCAACTCACAACTGGTTTGATTTAACCTAGCTACCTTCAACTGCTCAGTTCTTTGAGCCGCTCTCATTTTGACGTCCTTCCACAACCTGTCCAGCTCAGTCACCTCATGACCAACTCTGTCTGACATCTTCCCTGGTGCCTGCTGCTGCTGTTGTTGCTGTTGCAAGTCTCTGCCGCTGTGTATCAACTCTCTGACATCAGGTTCTTGTTGCTGCATCTCTGCCTCCTTGCCCTGTAACCAAAACGTCAGTCACAAGAGACTGAAAGCTAACACACAAAATTTGACAAAGATCAGGACACAAAACAACAGTTTGTTGATTTAATGCACATGAGAATTTCTGCACAAGATCATTTGACTTGGCAGTAAAAAGATCTAAAATCAACAAGAAAGGAAATTAGTTGTCATCTGGTAGGGTGTAAGTTTGATTTGAACTATTTAACGCTTTTACAAGCTTTCCAATTTAAAGAACAGCGTAATTATTTCCAAAAAAGAAAAAAGGAGTGACAAGAACCAGCATAAATGTTTCCATACTACCTAGAAAACAATCACTTGCCACTTGCCTGAATATTTACTCTGCAAAATCATCAATTTTATATTCAGAAGTCAAATGTAAGAGAAAGAATATCCTTGTCTGTAGTTACAAACCCCATTCACACTGACAAATTAAAAAGGACTGGTGCCTGAAACTAACCAAGTGTTGATCCAGTTGCCTCTGCAAGGACTCTAGACTCGTCCAGTCAACTGGTTCCTTCATCTGCTCCCTGACCTCCTTCAACCAGCCAGTCGTCTTCTCCGCTCGCTCAACATAGGTGAACATCATTGTCAGGGCAACTATCTCCACGGGGAACTGGCGCACGGCGTCCAGCGTGGTCTTGTGGTCGCGGAGTAGGCCAGCCAGCCGGCGCTCTGTCGACAGCTTCTGCTGAGATGGACAGTCCTGGGAGAGATCCTTGAGGGCAGAGGTAAGCCAGGCTAACTCCTCATGTGTCTCTTCGGCCATTTCTGACAGGAACTGTGAGATGGAGTCAATGGAATGCTTACACTGGAGAGAGTGATATTGACTGGTAGAGGGTCGGTCACATGGTCGATGCTTGAAAAAGATTAAAGGGCTAGCTTCTTGTGGACGATACATTCAATTTGCTCTGTTCCCTAATTCCAAATTATTCCAAACTGCATCTATTCCAAAGGGAATGGAAAGACAGCAAAGATTGGGTTCAGATCCTACGTAAGCTCTTTTGTCTCACCTTCATGTCATTTAAATGGGGTCAAAGTAGCAGAGTTTTTCAAGAAGCAGATTAACCCTAACCCTCCTCAATCCTCCAACAGGTGAAGGATTCAGGAGGGTTAGGGTTAGGTCACTCTTATAACAAAAGTCCAATTTTTTTTATTTTATTTTTTTTGGCAGCAAAATTTTATTACATTATCTATATTATCCGAATATGGTTGTCTTAATCCACTTACCTCAAATTTTAAGCACAGTTTCCTAAATTCTTCATTGTTGTCAGTGGTTTGGATGGAAGCCATGATGTCACTGGTGTCCAACACCCACTGAGATAATGCATCAAACCTGCAAGCATTCCAACAAAACACATACATTGGTTCATGATGGCTTTCATGAAGTCTTTCTGAACAAAGACTGGTTACAAATGAGGAGCATGGGTTTTCTTCTGTTAAATGGAACTCAATTACAAATGAAAACCACTTTAAGCAGTGCTTTCCTGTCTAAGTTGTATACTTAGACAGTAGTAAAACATTTAACTTTGTTTCAAACATAATAACAATCAAACACGCATAAGAGCAATATATCTCTCAAAAATTGCATTTATTTAATTGAAAGAAATGGTAAGAGCAAACAGGATTCTTTCAAATGGAACTAGAACATCAGTTTCCAAAGACAATCAAGTTCCTCGCATTTTTACCCATCTTTCCCCATCAACGCTTCCCCTTTGTTCCTTTTTTGTAATCTGAAATTCCAAAATTGCATACTTCTCTCTAGGCAACTCTTCAAATCAGTTCAAAAGAGCTCATACCTAATCAACCATGATCAGACTGTTTTCGTAGTCATTCAAAGACATTCCACAGAAAATGACATTCCTACCTGTCATTGTATTCTTGCCACAACCTGGGCAACTCTTTCAACCTTTTGGCCAACTGCAACACCTCCTGGCTGAGCTTCCGGTGCCTGTCCTGACCCTGCTGAATGGCCTGGGTGAGAGGTGAAGGGTCATACCTGGGGTCAAGAGCAATCAGCTGCTTCTGGATATCCTCCATGGACTGGATGCATTCAGCACAAAACTCCAAAGGTTTCTGCTTCGGAAAAAAGTTCTGTGAATAAGGAAACAAATTTAAAATATGCTTCATTATGAAATAGTGTGTTAATAGCACATTTTCCCCCGCTCATCCTGCGTTTGAGTCACACAATCCAAAATCTTGTTTTTATGTAATTTTGCAAGTAAGTTTGTCCTGCTTATTGCTGTACACATTTTTCCAGTAATGGGTGATTTCAAGATTACTTTCTCCAAGCTGATTTACACTCAAGGCAAATGCAAAAGCCAATTTGTAATCTTCAACTAGTCACAGTGAAATTTGCAAAACTGAGGTGAAACAGTTGCAAATCCAAATTCAATTTCAAGGGTATGAACTAGCAATTATGGAGTACATCATTGCAGAATACTTTTTACATCTCTGATTATATTTGGAACAAAACGGCAAAAGTTAGACAGAACGTAAATATAATTTACAATACATAGCACTGAAAGCATTATTCATTAGCAGCCTTGTACACAAGAGACTGGGTAACAAATTCTTACACCGAGGAAGTGGGAATGTGACAGGCTTTTAATCACACAGTTGGGACTTGTCACTTCTCTGAAAGTACAAAGATTTCAAATTAATCTGTTTCCAGCATCTGAGTTTTCTAATCTGCATTTGACTGTATGGAATGACACTACGCTTTGGCTTCGGTTATCGTAGTGGGTTGGGTTTTAACTTTAACACATTACAGTAAATACTCATAAATTAAGACAAAAACACCCATTTGGGATGACCCTTACCACGTGTCTATCCATAACAGCTTCAGGTGTCTTGCCATCCTTCAGGGCTTGACGCTCCTGGGCAAGCTCTGTCTCAACCTCCTCCAGTTTCTTGTCCATTGTCTCTTTAGCTTGTTGGAAGTGCAGCTGGTAGAATTTCAGTGGAGCAGCTCGCATTAGTGCCTATACGGCCCCAAAAATTATCCAAACAAAAATGAGGAGAAAAACAAAAAATGGACAATGAGACCTATGATCAGACTGAGACTTGAGACCTGATCTCACGATATGGATTCTGAAAACGGGCAATTCCCCCTGAAGACCTGAAAATGCCCTGGTTGCTCTGCACTGTGATGGGTCTCCTACCCTGCCATCTGATTGGCCGAGCCCTTGTGTAAGCAAATTTCATTCATTTGTACACTGATGAATATTCAAATTAATGGTCAGGTCCTCTGGACAGTGACCTGCCGGCCATTCTCTGACTCTAGCATAGGGAGGCTCTCCACACAAAGAACGTTGCATAGTGGGCAAGCATGCGAAAGGAATGCCAACATCTCTTCATAAAGACACAAAATTGGGGGGACACCGGCAACAGTATGTCTTCTGTCAGATGAGAAAATTTCTAAACTTGTTATTTAGTGACAGATTGAGCATTCTACTTGGCTTCGCCAGAGCGCCTTTGAAATTGGGCTCTAGAACTCTTGTAGTTCTTTACCAATAAAACTACATCCCTACTTACCAGGCATTTGTCCTGTAGCGCCCGTACTCTTCCTTCCACTCGTTCCCTTTCTTCAGGTGACAAGGAGTGAAGCAACTCTTGACTCATTGACAGGAACCGAGTCAGTGCATCAGGTTGACCAGACTCAAACCACACCTGCAGAGTAGAGACCGTGAAACTCAGTGGTCAGTCAGCACTGTAATGACACTTTCCATGCAACATTGGTACCAAGGGACAGAGTTCTGCTACTGAAGATAATCAGTCAACACGAGTCCCTCAAATTACTCACTTTTAATTGCTTCAAGACGTTACACGTACATCATATTCTGCACTTCCTTACTCAATTACAAGAGTCATTCAAAAGTATATGTACATTATTCAAGTACTTTGTTCACAGTCTCTATTCTTCAGTATCCTTAGTTACTTGAGGCCACACAAAGTCTGTTTCAGCATGTTACTTAATATTCATAATTTGACCTCTGACCTGAATAAAATTCCCAAATCCGAACAAACTGCTCCTTTTATCTGAAGTTTTGATCCATTGTCTGTGGTGAGTGGTGGCGCAGGTGGTGGTGATACTGAAACATGGTGGCAGTGGTGGGATTCACACCCATGCCTTTGAAACGATTTGCACAAAGAATGAATGCTCTTACCTTGTGAGTGTCCAGCTGCTTGCTGATTGGTCCTTTGTGATCTTTCAAGATTTTACTCGCCTGCTGCAGCCAATCAGCCAGCTCGGCTTCTCTTAGTTCAAAGCCCTGCCACTCCTTCCGCTGCCCGGACAGGCGTTCCTCCCAGTCCCGCCCCAAGCTAACAGCAGTCTGGTAAACAAAGTGTTTCGAATTAGAGAACAACAAAAGCACAGTTCCATGAATCTACCATCCATGGACTTCCAGGAGGCATCATTCATGTGTGACACCAGTCACACATGCATTCTTAAACTCTAGGCTTGCACACCTTCAGAAAATTACACCACCCTAAGATTGAAGAGGTATTAAATGTGCAAATATATAAGCACGGCACCACTGTAGTAATGACTAATAACCCAGGTCACCCCATTACTCTACATTAAAAAAATGCACAACCATCAAAGCTATCCCCTAGAGAGGTAATTCACAAAGTACCCCCTGGCAAACTTCTCGGTGCAGAACAATCTGAAATTCTCACCATTTTTCAGATTATACCACCTTTTCGGCATGATCACTTTGCTAATCCAATGGATCATGTTTCACAAGACATTAACACACTTGTGCTGCATATGCAGCGGAAACTTGAACGGGAACTTCACTGCTCAATTCTAGACTGAAAATGAGGGGATCATTTTACAACCTATCCAAATTTTACAGAAATGTAATTTAATAATTTGTTGCAAAATTTTCGAAGACATTTTAACATATTATTACAACATTTTTAGGTGCTAAGAAATATGGGATGGGGAAGCTGCAATGATGTCATTTTAAACCGTTAAGTATTGGGAAATCTGGCGGGTTTACTTAACACACAACTTCCAGCTAACTAAATGAAAGTGAAGCCTGGTAAGTTCTCACTCTGTAACGGAGCTGGATGTTAGCGGTGGATTTCTCCAGTATGGTCGTCTCAGTGTAACTCTCTTGGTTAAGACTGATGATGTAGCGGACAATTTGTGTCTTGTCTTCCAGCTGCTGGCCAACATGTGGAGCCTTGGAGAAATGTGCCTGAAAGATTGGAGTAGGAAATTTGGGCGAAAATGTTTCTAGTTTAAGTGCACATATCGTCACTGTTTTCACAAAGTGACACAAATGTCCAAAAAAATAAATTTTTGTCAATCTCCATTTTTTTCAATATTCTATTTCATAATATCGTGCTTGACCATTTTGACATGCTCCCACAAACAAAACATCATTAATGTAATAGCTACATTAATGTTGCCAAGGGCAAAAATCTTTAAAACAGCATTTTGCATTTTCATGAAGAAACTCACTGCTTAATGTCCTTCGAATATGTACTATACGTATTGCACGGAAACGCTGAGAAGTAGGTCAACCGGGATTTTCGTTTTCACGAAGTGACCCAAGCTTTGTTCCAATGTGTGCGTGTGAAGACACAATCACCTTGCTGTGAATTAAACACTGAACAGGATGTTCATGTACAAAAATGTAATTTTCATTTTCACGAAGTGACATTAATCTTTGCTCATTATTTTGGATAATTAACCTGTTTTCATACTAATTACTCAGGTTAAGGGAGCGTTTATTCATCAAAGAATCATTTAAGGGATTGTTGTCACAAATCAGTTACTTTGTTAGTTTTTATAAAAGGAGGAACTTCTCTGACGATTTTCTTGAAAACCTGTTTTTCCTCAAAAACACATTAGAGTCACTTTGTGAAAACGGTGACGATATGAGCTAATATCAGCTGCAAAACTCACACCCTGTTAACTCCCAACGGTGACTTTTTCCCAACAATTTAAACAGAAATAAATTGTTAAATAATACTTCTGGAGTCATGTCATCTCTCATTCATTTTTACAAACACAAACAGCCAATCCTTTGGAAAGAGTACTTGTGATGTGGAAGAATACATAAATACAAAAATATTCTTAAATTAAACAATACTTCCCACATTTCCAGAAACGTATTCTTATTTCAAAATTTAAACGAAATTCAATTTTTCAAATTGATTATGACATCTATTTATAAAGTTACAAAATTAGTGAGACAATGCTAATTTTTGCAGCCTGATTTCAGTATCAGTTGATTTCAGTATAACCACTGAAGTGCAAAGCATCAAACCACGTCTTTGCTCTACTCCATCCTCCCAAATTTCTAAATATCGCATTCAAGTCAATGACTTGCAAGAAGCATAGGGATCCAAGCAAACGTGCATCATTTAAAATGTTGCTGCTTACCTTATGTTTTTTGAGGCAGCTCTCCATCTCTCTAGGGTCCATCCCGGTCGGTTTCATCCCCTCCTCCTCGTATGATCTCAGCAGCCCCTCAGCGATGTTCACCCACCCCTCCACCTCCTCCATTCCCTCCTCATACTGCCGCAGTGCCTGCACCATCTCGTTCATGGTCTTGGCCCGGGGCGGGATGGAGTCCCTGACCACAGCCAGTCGGTCCTTCAACGTCCGCAGCATGTTGACCATCACACCTGTCTCCTCCTTGGAGCAGGTCTTCACCAAGGACTGGGCCAACTGCGACAGATGCTTGAAGCTGTACTCGTGACCAGGAACTTGGCTCCGTAATTCCTGTGGTTGGAAATTATTTGAAGAGCAGGGGTATGAGTGGCCACTTAAAATAAAACCTGAAAACAGCTAGCAAAAAGCTGAAATGTAAAAAGTTCCCATACTTTTGTACAGGCCAGGTGTACAAAAAAGCTGAAATTGAGGGTCAACATTTACACACAAAAAAGCTGAAATCAGCTAAAAAAGCTGAATTCTCACACCTCTGTGAGTGGCATTAATAACAAATGGATCAAAAACGGTACTGGTGGTTGAGCAAATCTCACACAGAACAAGGAAAGCATTAATTGTTAAGTGGAGAAAATGAAGAACAAATAGAAGGGTTGTCAGTGAAAGCTTTCAACACAGCATGAGTTTTTAGAGCCTTCGTGAAGGACTGGAAAGTTTGGAAGTTTTTATGTGAATAGGAAGCCAGTTTCACAGTACTGCTAAACCAGGAGTTGTCCCTTCATGTAGTCTCATCTAGGTTTATAGAGTAAATTTTGTTATTTGATTCAAGAGTACAGGAGGGTATTTGTAAGGTGAAGGCATATCCACAATGCACATGTATTAAACCATTAAAGATTACCTTACAGGGAATTTGTAACCATCCTAAAAGTTTATGGATGAGGTGAAATCTATACCAGATGGACATTAACTTACATCGAGTTGCTGGACATGCTCTTTGATGACACTGTAGTGGCATTCCACCGGTCGCATGGCGCATGCCTCTGCCTTGTCCAGCCAGGCATTGAGTGACACCACACGAGACGTGAACTCTTGATGCAATTTCTCTGACTCGTTAGATTTCATGTAGACCTGCAGAAGAGCAAGGGCAAGTCAGTCACCACAGATCTATAGTACCTTGAAGCACAATCTCATGTTGTGACAATGATAATGACAGTAGTGCTCCTCCGCATGATTTGAATCTGGGGCTGTGTCAGAATTAGTTGGCATTGACTAGGAAAACGTACACACCAACAAATGCCACATGCCAAGGCCCTCATGCGTTTCTCATACATGTATATCCAAGGACGATATTCAGTCACTGCCAAGTAATTTGGACACACCTTGAACCAGCTGACCCTGGTAAGCTAAGCTTAGTTCATGCTAGTTAGCATTAGGTTTTAAAGTATTTTAAAAAATACTCTTTGCTATGAGCCTGACATGGATAAGCTGAACTAGACTTCTGGAAAAATGAAAACAATATGCGTGGTGCACTACAGCTCAATATGACTCCACAAACATCACAAATATTCCCCATGAGCCTTGAGCTGAACCAAGAGGAGGCACAATTTCCTTAGCAATGGAGTCTCCTTTGGTCAGAACTGAACTTCCCTGGTTCAAGAATGACTACAAAATGAATGCGTTACGGTCGCATCGCTACCAACAAAATGAATACTAACGTGGCTCTTTTCAACTGATGAGTATTAAAACAAACTGTATTTGTTACTTTGTTTACTTCTTACAAACTTTTATAACTGTGACTCACTATTGTCGCAAATGACAAAGAGGAAAATATGCTTATACTCTAAACTACAACATATATGAACTGTCCACATTTGCAGGATGAATTCAATACATTTGAGAGACATTAAATCTACAAATTGCCAGGTCTGGACAAAGATATCAAATTAGAATAACTGGCAAGACAGATACGTGTATGGTAACTATTCCCATAATTCCAAAATTCATAGAGATGATTACATATGAATTTAACCCTAACCCTCCTCAGTCCTCCAACAGGTGAAAGATTGAGGAGGGTTAGGGTTAAAGTAACTCTATATTTGTGTACAAATGCGCAGCATATAGGATTATCAAGGCAGAAAACACAACACCTTGATTGCCGTAGCAACAATAGATCAGCTCACCTTGGCGGGTTCAAAAGTTTCCTTCCATCTTCTGTTGATGAGCAGCAGCTGCTGTTGGATGCTGAGTGATACTGTCTCCTGACATGTCTCTATCAGGAAATTACCAGACTCGTTCATGGCTGTGTGACGGTCCAGCCAAGTGGACAATTCACAGAAGTACTCCTAAGGGAACAAAACAAATACAAATTACTGCATGGCTAAAACTTCATCAACGCTGCCAGCAAATACAGCCTACATGTAACTTTCAGGACTAAGTAAGCTTCATATCTTCCATGCATCTCCTTATGAAATCTGAGCTAAGGCAAGACTGGTTTGGTGGAACATGATACCTTTCAGTAACAAAGAAGCTACTCTATCTTTTGACAGAATTCTATTATTTCATCAAGTGTTTTACCAGACGTCATGAAAAAGTTGAAGAGTGTATAGCAGGCCAAGCCTTGTGCACTCTTTCAAGAATGGTCTGCTCATTTTCGAAAGAACTTAATACACTAAAGATTTCACAGAAGACATGAAGAAATAAGGATGTTGACACATTTTTTCATTATTAAATAAAGAGAGTATTCAAATTATGGATTCATTTTTTAAGCAAGCAAAAACATAAACAACATTTAAGGAACACAACCAGACATCTGCAAGATGGGTAGTGGAAAGGTCACCTAACAGATATCAACACCATCCAGGTAGTCTGGTCCCTTCATTCACATTTACCCTGATATTGTGGGATGTTGGGTAAGAGCAGAGAGGCTGATGAGATAGGACACCGCTACCACCTCAGTGGTCTGATTCCCTGATTAATGTGACGCATACATTGGATGGTTTGGGCAAGAGCAAAGATAACGAATGAAGATGTGGATACCCTTACCATCTTGGTAGCTTGGTCCCCTCGCTGTAAGACCTTCTCTGCCTCCTCCAGCCACGGTTGGAACAGCCCAACGTTGGTGGTATAGCACTGCCAGTGCTCAATCACGCTCTCCAGCATGGTTTGAATGCTGGTAATCTCCACAGTCAGGTTGCGTTTCTTCTGATTCATATCGCCAAGGAAACGCCGCATCCCTTCCAACTCTTTCTCTATTGAAGAAAACAAGGGTTGGAGTACTGGGCCGATAAAAGACCTGAGATATTAAGTAACTGTTCAATTCATAGTGCGAGAAACAACCCTGACAGAAATTGCAGGTTGTTGAGACCATTCGGTCTGGTGTGCTGAATTCAACATCTTGGGAATAATTTTGTAGGCTTTCCGTTTCAATCCAGCAAAAAAGAGAAGATGACATTTTTTAACTGACTGTTATTTCCTTTCATTCCACCTACATGTAGAAATAAAATGGTGGCAAAAACAGCAACTTAACAAGTACTTCAAAAGGAACCAAATTGGTTTGGAACAATACAGTACAGGCATGAGTGTTAACCCTGCTTGTGCGGCACTTAACAGTCGTGTGCCAACTTGTGCATAATGCTCCCATACAGTCATGTCATGTCATTTATTGACCAAGACCCTTTACATATAAAACACAGTGCAACAGGGGAATCTGTAATATAAATACTGACGAGGACAACTGCAAGTACTCACGATTTGAAATAGAATACTAAGCCAAATCCTATCATTTCCATTAACTCTTACCATTTGTGATGGTTTTGTGGTATGCTTCTGTAACCACTTCCATCTGTTGTAATGTCACCTCATACTGCTCAAAGAACTGATCATCAAAAACAAAAACCTGTTCACAAGAAATGGATACATTCTTATTAATCTTAATAAATCTATGTTTGTCAACTACCTATTCCAATAAGGAGAACTTTAATTTCAGTCAAGATGTCATAAGGCCAGTTCAACAAAAAAACTCCTATACTCTTCATTTTGTATAATAGCAACATCTATCGAGTTGATATCCTCAACATTAAAAAAGTCTCAGAGAATTTCTCATGTAGTTGGTGCTATGAATTTCTGGTAATGAAACCAAGGATTCCTTAAAAGTATCCAAGGCACTGAAGCTAAAAAGCCAGTATTAACTCAAAAGAAAATACCAGAAAGAAATCACAGTTTTAGGAAAAAGGTTACAGTTTAGAGATGGGAGGAAAACCCAAGATGAATATCATGCGTACACCGCACAGAATCAGGTTTAAGACTGAAAACCCAATCCATATGTGGGCCAACCTGAGAACCAAACCCGAGCTGCAGAGGTGAAAGGCAAGGAAAGAACCACTACATCAACCTGACTCTCCTAAAGTGAAAGCTTCCCACCTTGTAATTTTCCAGCAGCAAGGCCACGCTCTCCCTGCTGCCGTACTTCACCGTCCAAGCCTGCAGTTTCTTCTCGGCCATGACGACAAAGGCCAATAGCCGGTACTTCATCTCAAGGTATTCCAGTTTGGTCCCTCGGTCCTGGGACGCTGCGAGGACCCGCTCAAATCGCTCCGACATGTCCTGGAAGATGGTCGGGGGCACGCCTTCTGCCAGCTGGGTTCGGCTCAGTTCCAGGAAGGTTTTGTGGACCACGTTGGCATCTCGGAAGTGTTCCTGTCAATTTTGCAGAGGATATAACAAAATACATGTCAGGTAAAGAACCCTGAACAAGGCAGACTGACTGAAATAACCAGCAATAATGACTGTTTTAACTATGAAATATTAGGACCATCACAAGACCAGCATACAACCTCCAATTTGATTTCAAATCTCACGTTATTTGAATGAACTCAAAAGCATTCTTTCATCAGTGTCCATCCAGTTACTTGTGAATGGTCTGGTGAATGATCAAACGTCTGGTTTTATGGATGGTTTTGAGTCTAATATGGTGATGATTTTGTGTCTAATATGGTGATGATTTTGACTACACCGCTGCAAACTATGTATTTTTGGCCACGATGACAATGATGTAATATCATTTTTTAATAAAGCTAGTCTGGTCTTTTTAGTGTTTTGGCAACAATCCACAAATTAACTCTTTTAAAATGTGATGTTGTCGGCCAAGAAAAATAAGTAAAAAATACAGGTCTTTTGGGGGTATTACTACACCGCATACATATTAACATAGGTTTATAAAAAGCCTTCTTCCAATGGTCATCTATGTTTTAGGATTTTCCAAGTATTTCTTGAAAATGCTGAGCACTTGGCTGTCTTCATGAATGGGACACTTTCAAAACATGTATTTGTTGCGGAGGAATGAGTCTGATTACTGTTAACGTGCCTGTAGCATCATTAAATTGGGAGCTACACTAGGCAGGAAAGTTGTTTCACAACAGAAACCGCAACTTTATATTGTAGAAGGGTCTGGAATTAGTAATTTAAAAGTGAAAAGGGAGTCGATCATTGTTACTTCATGTTCACTTCTACTAATAAGCAATCTGCCTAATAAATATGCATAAGGTACAAATCTTCTCATCTACTGCCATGCATATTCAAACAAACCTGATGGGCAATCAGTTTCCGTTTCATGCTGCTGTGGGTCTCCTCCTGCGACTGCAAAGGAGTCAGGTCATCGTCCAATAGGGCCTCAGCCTTGTTAAGCCACTCCCCACAGGGGCCAAGCCCACCAGCAAGCCCCGCCTCGACGGACTGCCTCCACTCCATCTCTTTGGCGAGGAGTTTGGTCCACTGTGACTCGGTGACATTGCACTGCTCCTCTGAGAGAGACAACAGCACTTTCTTCCTCTTCTTCTCCATGACAATGGTCATCAGATGTTTGCATTTCTTGTGCTTTGCTTGGAATTCCACATATTGCTAGCCAGAGCAAACAATAGTTGAGACAAAAGTTATAAGAACAAATTCAATCCTGCCTGGGACATGCTCGACATGTTCTTGACTTTAAGCCTTTTTACGCAAATGCATTCAGGCAACCATTTAACATAGATTAACAGTCAATGTGCTGGATGCTCTCATACATTTCTCTGTGCACACTTTTATCACAGATAAATGGTATCACTGGTATTTTGTTACGACTAAGCCAATAAAATCAAGCCTTACCGAATCTTATTCCAAGTGCTTTGAATGTGTGTGTATCTCATATATATCTTCTACCCATGGCTAACAACTGCGTGATACGGTTTCAAGTCGATCACTCTTAATAATTGATGGGATGATGGGATGGAACCGAGAAGGTTACCAACAGTCAACAGCTTAAAAGGAAAGATTGGCAAAGCAGCCATCTTGTCTGATCATTATATACCCTGATCTAATTACACGCTGATTCCTAATACCAAGGAAATGCTACGATCAGTAGGCACAGAAAACTGCTCAGCAGATATCCTTGCTTAGCATGTGTTACGTCTGAAAGCCATTCTGAAGTACAAGGTTTAATTCAATTTTGGCTTCACTGCACAATCAGCTGAGCAGCTGGTAATTATGGGCCCAGACGTAAACAGTGCCAAGCAGCCCAAGAATTCCTGGCCTTCCAGAAGGGGAATGACAGCTGCCTCCAGACGTCCTTGGAAGATGTGCAATGGCATTAAGGATGAGGTGGTGGTGTCATCCCAGAGGGCTCAAGACTTAAATGTCATGCTATGGATACATTAAACTTATGAATATTTAGATTTGGTGGCAGAAATTGTGAGAAGTCAATTTTAAAGGTGAATTCTATCTTGCCAATCAAGACTTTGACCGAGGGATTATGTTATGGGGGATAAGAGCTGATTACAAATTTGCAAATTTTGGTTGAATACTGTTGAAATTAGATTTTTGTTTCATTTAAGTCTCTTCTTAAGTTGAAGTGGATTTCAATCTCTTACTAAATACACTCTGAGCTGTAAGTTTTAAATGCCCAGGGTTAAAAACAGAGCACTGTTTACAACCAAAAAAATGGAAAAGTATGTAATTGCTATCACCTTTAATCTTTATACAGTCTTTGGGCGTTCATATGTAATTGTCATTACCTTGGCTAAGACAAAGCCAACTCTACCAAAAACACGGTTCGTTTAAATTAAGTGTTGTATTTCCATCTTTCCATTCAGTCTTTTGCCCAATGCAAGGAATTCATGATACAAATTGCCACCAAGAGGGCAGTATTAAGAGGCAAATTTTCACATTGCATCATGAAAAGTTATCAACACTGGTATTCTCTCTGCACTCAGCCTCAACAAACGTTACACTCTGTGGGTGTGCATCATTTGAAAGCCGATTCATACTTCAGGTGCATGTGACAGTGAAGCAAATTTGATGCCACACAACATTTGCAGCGAAATTTGCCTTCAATGAAATATTTTATGCCTCTGCCAATATGCAGCATGAACATTTGATCTGACATCACAAATTTGCATTCGTGTTCGCTTTTCCTCCAAGCATGAACCAGTTTTTTTCCTGTGGAGTGAAAAAAAATCCACAGGCTTGTCCACAAACCTGTGTGGTCCCATGGTACACTCATAAAAACAGAGTATCATAGGAAAAACAATGAACTGCAAAGTAACATAATGCAGGAAGTTGAACACAAAATGGAAAAAAAATGCTTCTTTGAAGTAAATACTTGAATTAAAAATGTCTGCTCATATGCACCTACTACTGCCTGGATGACTTACCGAGTACTGGTCCTCTTTGGTACGCTGCTTCTGCTTGGCCGAGGTGATCATGGCGTCACCTTTCACCAGCCAATCATTGATCTCCTGACACATCTTGGCCTCCTCCTCCTTGGCTTTGTCGACCTGCAGGGCAAAAGGTCACAAGTCAAAGGTCAAAGTCCACTTTTTTTTAAAGGATTTGGCAGGATCAAGGGAAAAAAGAGCCTAGCCAAAGATACTTTACTTAAGACATGTTGCACCTTGAAAGCTTAAAACAATATGCCACTGGCTTTCTGCAAAATGAATGCTTTTATTATACCTAGAAATACCATTAGCTAAAATATCTATGGACTAAAGGTTGGGAGTTTCTTTGAACCTTTAATTGCCATGTACAGAAGTAACTCAGCAGTGTCAATACTTTAGATGACCTTTTAAATGACCTCCTTTGTTCACAGTGAAACAAAATGTGACAGTACAGCCTTCCAGGTGCAGCAATTTTATAATATAGGTGATGTGATGGAGATAGCACCCATATGTAGATATTTATTAACAAATATGGATTCTAACTTGGAAATCCTCCAGCAATTTCAAGAAAGAAATTTGACATAAAGAAAGATATTTAAATAATACCTTGCTCCCTGTTTCTGGAAATGCTTTGAAGAACTGTGAAACATAAGTCATAATGGACTTTTCATCTGGCTTGTCCACGTCAACATCTGCAAGAAAATAAAATGTCTCCAGTTAGGAAAGCTTCCCATTTCACAGCATATCATCAATACCTGATTTACAGTAAATATTAGGAAACTTTTATTTCAAGTTCTGTACGGGAATTTTACATTTCCAGCATTGAACCATTTCAGTCAGGCAGGAATAAATGCTCAGGGGACAAGCTACCATTCCTTCTGATCACACCACTTGCACGAACACTGGCTAGCTGATTTACCAGGGTGTAACCCCACAGCCAGCTGAACTACCAAACGGGCAGACCCTCAGGTAGTCAGCTTTCAAGCATCTAACCAGTGTGCCAGCTAGCAACCCCAACACAGCAAGCTCACTGGACAGTCAGCCAGTCAGCTGGCATAACTAGCAAGTCTGCCAGCAAGGCATTTCCAAGGTACTCACTGGACAGTTAGCCAGCCAGTTGGACAGAAAGATACATGTACCTACCCAGTCCATAAGCCAGCAATGCCCATAGATAGCACTCTCACCTGGACACTAGTGCCAGCTAGCCAGCCAGATGTCTCACCAGTCATTTTCATCATTTAGGCCTAATAATCCTTTTAGTAGCAAGCTCACTAGACAGTAAGCCAGTTAGCTAGTCTGCTCATAACAACACACCCTGTCAGCTACTGAAACTAAGTTACTGTACAAATTAGCTAGCCTCCTCACCCAGAAGAAAAAACGTATTCATCAGCCACAAAACACCCACTTGTTGGCAATTTTACCTTGTGCATCAAGAAGTCTGACGATGCCTAGCTCCTTTTCTGCCACATTAAATGCTACATCAAGGTTCTCAATGTTTGTCCGTTTTGGAAGCATGGACAAGTCCACCAGGTCTTGCCTGATGTTGTGGATCAGTACATTGAAGGCACAACCATCCCTCCAGCTGGGTCCAAAGTCCTTGACCTCTATATCCATGCCAGAACTGCAACAAGAATTTCAAATCAAGCTTAGTGACAGACAAGTAAATATTAGTAAAGGGAATAGCACATATTCCTTTCTTGAGAGTTTTTAAAGTTGTAAGAGAAGCTACAAAATCCATGAAAAACCGCAAAATATGAGAGTTTCTTTTCAACTCAATCTGCTAAATGGGCCACAAGAAATGCTTCTTTGACTTGTAATCCTTTTAATACACATACACTACAGAAGAATAGCATCTGCTTAAATATTTTTAATAGAAATGTTTACAAAGAAGCTCAATACAATTACCAATCGTTTTCAACGAAGTGGAGAGTGGATTCAGTAATATTTCTAGCACATGTGAGAGGGGAATAGAAATACTACATTACAGGCTGTGTTTCTTGAAACAAACCAAGTTCAAAGATAAAAATCATTAATACATATTTCTGTTATTTCTAGACCAAGATTTCTAGATCAAGACCAACATACCCGGCAGCTTTGGACGCTTTCCGGGCCCAGGCCAGCAGTGCCTTCTTGGCTGTCAGCTTGCCCTTCAGCTTGGAGGCCACAGAGACTGCCTTGGCAGCCCTTTTGGCAGGCGGTGGCTCCAGGTGACTGCTGCTGGGTCGGGGAGCCTCCGGTTTGCTGGAGGTGGACGATGCCTCACTGCTGCCCATGCTGTCCACGCTGCCTGTGCTGCTGGACATGCCCGACTCGGCCAGTTTTTCCAAGGCACTCGCATTTTGCTCGATCTGAAAGGAAGACAGATGAAATGAATACTTGATTAACCTAGTATTCCTTATTAGGTAATACAGGTGCAATGTACAGTACACTCTGAATAAGCATTAGTTTTTTCTTCCTTTGTGATTATAATTCCTTGATCTTAAACATGACCAAAACAAGATACATGTACAAATAGACCAACTGGATATTTGGTGATTAAAATTTAATGAGTGGAAGAACTGAAAAAATGTGGGGGGAAAAATGACTCAGTGTTACAGCAGGCTGGATATTCACAACTGGTGGGATATGTCCGACTGAAGTGAAATGCTGACTTAAAATTCGTTTCCAAAGAATTTGAGAAACTGAAAGGGAAGAGGTTCACCAAATACTGATTGCCCTTTGTCAACGTGCAATAATTCTGTTGACTGCTCTATGGTCAACGTACTTTCATCATTCTAATCAAGAGAGCACAGTGGCCACAGTCTTGGAGCTGTATTTGAACAAACTACAGCAGACAAATTTGTCAATGGACACGTTACAAAGCTGAAATAAAATTATACCGGCACATGCACATGGGAATCCAAGTGGAACAAAAATAGCAAATGAATGTAAGCCTGCTCGAATTTTCTTTACTCGCTGAAGCCGAAATTATTGGGAGCCAAGCAATGCCAAAAAAATTCAAGGTAAACGTCGGGCAAACTCATAAGCATTAAAGCACTGTATCGCCTTGACTTCAGTATATATTATGCACTATCATAATAGGATTACAAGTTACATACATGTACATGTGAACCAGTGGGGAACACAGAAACAAGATTAAATAAAACTCATGAATATCAAATGAGTTTATTTACTAAAAAAAAATTTAAATCATGGTATATGTTCTGCGTGCATCACTCTACTGTACAAGTGAGTAATTTGTGTGCAGTCAAGACTCGGTGAAGAATGTGTATATATTCTTTTACAGTCTACAGTACTCTGTGCTGATTAATTACAAGAACAAAACTAGGCAAGTTAATCTGAAGTAAGAACTGCACTTGTGAGAAAGCCAACTATCTACTTCTCCCTTCTAAAACAACACTTTACAGGCAAATCTAATGTAACATGGGTTCATTGGCAATTATGTTATACCCACGATGAGCTACCGACTGCAGCAGACAGTCACTACATGTAAATGTACAAGCCCAGCTTATAGGCTTGCCCACTTCTACATGTATGATAAACAGCTTGTGCTCCCTCTGAACTAGTTAGAGCTAAACATTTTCTGAAATGCGTTGCAAGCACCAGGGAACCTACATGTACATTTACCGGTAAAAAGTATGAATACGTGTGCCATATGAATAATCATGTTAATCATGCTGAGCAGTGCGGAATAAGACAAGTACCCATACGATTACATGCACAAGATGCACTTGTACTCAATCGTCATTTATGTGGTAGCCTTTAACCTTGGTAGAGGGTTGGACATATACATTGTATGTACATGTAAATGTATAAACACAGAAATACAGCACTTGAATACAAGTACATTGAATAGAACTGCAAGATATGGTCGGAATCTTACCAATCTTAGTTTGTACTGGTCAACTTGTAAATGTACATAGCAACCATATTCATACATTTTGAACAAGGTGGGTTTCCTAGTTTCCACAATGTGTCATCACTGCTCATCTTTGGTGACACTATTACAATCCAAATGCAAGATCATCCAACCCTAAAAGTACTTCCCCTACATCTAAGTACTATATGTTTACCAAATGGAAACAAGAATGGCACCAACTTTGTACATGTATGTAAAAATGTCTTCCCATGATTCTGTTTAGCTAAAATTTTCTCTTTTAAACAGCAAAAACAGAAACAAATAAAAAAAAAATTTTTACATGTAAGAACTTTGCAGGTTCTCTAAGCATCTCACATTAATCATGAGCCTCAGCAGCGAAAAACTGAGGGTCAGTGTACTTTCGCCACAGCACACAGACCCACCATGCTAGCCCAGCCATACGTGTAACTTGTGTGTTGATAAGGTCATGACTGCACATCTACATGGCAGAATATTATTACCGATACCTGGGGGGCAAAATACTGTACAAGCCTCTTTATGATATCCACGGTAACACCCACTCATTCTCCATCCCTTGGTCGTCTTCATTTTAAATATCTAGGTTAAAACCCAGGAAAAAATCTTGGGGGGGGGAATTAACATATGCTTCTTCCCCTTCCCAAGGAGGCCAGCTGTAACAAAAATACACATGTATATTTCAGAAGGAGGCGATGTCTGGAATATTGCGTCTAGTTACTTTGTAATTATTTTGAAAGTCTTTAAAGTCTTTCAATATGGTACCTGTAGCTACAAACTCTTTCGGAAATATGATCAAGAAATCTACGCACTTGTCTAAATACTCAGAAAAACAACATCTTAAAATTAAAATTCTTCCCTCTTCTTGTGAAGCACTGGATTCTTTGCATTGATTTGTTTCATGACCAGACATGTTAGATGAAACACAGTCCAAAAGAATGTTGCTTTCATTAGGCACAAAGAAATCCAGACAAAAATCTTACACGTGTTAGCTGTATCAATTTGGAGTTTCCAGGCATTAATGACATAAATTCTAAATTTACAGTGTACACATCTGAACGTGATGTAAATGATGTCCAGATGACAATTTCAATAAACTAATACATGTAACTGCAAACCGACTCAACTCGATCACCACATTTCAATTAAATTTTCCAAAAATACAGTTCCTTTAAATTGACACATTTTGTAATCTCTTTGATTCAACATTTATGACAAAAGCTCCAGATCCGCAGTATAACTATAAGTCTTGTTCAATGACCAACACTTGACACATGAATGTCATCAAGATAAGAAATTGAATCTTTGCCTGATCATTAACATGGTTTAAGCAATGGAAGGAAACTTTTGTGTGTGAAATATGCCAACCGTGGGAACCTGTGGTTATAGCCCAATGCAACACCTCTTTTTGACAAATTACGTGGACTCAACTCTATGTAATCATTCTGTAAATCATAATGTAAAAATACTCTCATTCCATATCACATCTCTATGCAACAAACATATCTGGAACAAAAGTTCCACTGGTATTTTTGCATGAAACCTTTCAAAATCTCCCCAACTTCTACAGGAAAATGAGTAATGCAATCGCAGCTTCCTTGTAAAAGAAAACTCTAGACATTAAAATTCATGTACAATAATTCATCAATGCCTGTTATGACAAATGTATGAAGATGATTAAATGTTGTAGATTTCACTGATTAGAGGTTGCTATTTGTTGCAATCCTGTGCCAGGTAAATGCAGATACACAGTATGCCTGTTAACCAAATCAACGTGTACATGTATCTCCAATCTCTGCAGTTATGCGAGACAGAACATCCAAACTGTATGCAACACAAATGCAGTTTTTACGTTTGTACCTGGGAGCGTCTTTGAATTTCCATTTAATGCCCTCCACCTACACAACATGGTACACAGTACATGTTTAATATTACAGACTTGCCAGTTTTGATTGAGTGCAATTATGCCTCATGATCAAATGCACACAATTACCCAATTTCTGGTATATCGTATGTCTAGCACACAGGGGACATTTGTAACATCAGCCTGTATGTGAATAAGGTCGTAAAATTGATTAAATGGTTTCCAGCAAAAACTAGAAAAGGATAAACACACATAATCTGGACAAAAATTGAAAGCGGGACACTTTTCTGGGCATTACATGTAGCTTAGGTCGTCTGCTGAGCCCTGAACCAATGGTTGCTAACCTGCCACAGCCTATTTGGACAACCCTTTTGGTTGTACAGGTATGTATGTACCATACAAACATATGTTCACTTCCCCCACTTAGTTTTGCTTTATTGTTCAAGGCCGAACACTGAAACCAGCACAGCTTTTGTGAAGGAAACAAGATGTCTGATGTACATGTAATTCTTTAGTTATTCAATCATCTAACACAGCATTAGCCTTTTTCGAGCACTGAAATTCGTTGATTTCCTCTGTTCCTGTGAAACAAATCATGATATTCTTGCATCCAGAGTTTTCCCAAGAAACACATGAAGGTGAAGCCAGTGCTGAATTGAAGGCCATCCTGATGCTCATTAGCTGGTTACATTTTTTAAAGCCAGATTCACGAACTTAATTTGGTTCACGCTGTGATTTTATTCTGTCACAGCAAGTCATTACATAACTGAAAGAAGTTGACATTCGAATAGTACAGAATTCAGTAGGGTGAAATGGTATCGATAAAAATTGCTTTATGATTTATCAATGGTTTATGTTGCACACTATGCATGCTATGTTGGCAACATCCCGTGTGGCATCTCCTTCTGAAACTACAACATCCACTAGTATCGAACACTGGCTATGGCTCTTCACCATTTGATCAAAATCCGAAGCTGTAGTTATATAGGAGATGCAACCAGAATGCAAATGCGACTCACCCATGCAAACCCATGTATTAATTCAGTGGTGCACTGGCAGCGGCAACAACATGAAATGTGAAACATTTTACTTTTTCTCAGTAGAAGAATCAAACCCAACAGAAAAAAGTGTGCACAGATGTACATTTTCATCCCTGTACATTGTACCTATGTTGTAGCAACCATGTTTCATGGTATTCTGGCTGTTTCTTTGACAATATTGTACACAACAGGCCTTGTCTAATGTACTCCACTGGAATAAGAGAACTGTCAGCTAAGACAGTCATTAATCTTTTTACAAAAAACAAAAAGTGAGATACCATAACTGTCGATATTAATGAAAGTCCAGCATTTTTAAGCAATGTACATGTACAATGTATAACACACATGTTCACCCAAATTTGTAATGGGTTATGGGTTTTGCAGACATTACAGGAACCAAAAATGTTACAAGGACAAATTGTTTGTCCTCACAATTGGGTCCTGACATTTCTGACAACAAATATTGTGGGGAAGGTCTGCCCATGTACATGTACATGTATGCAAACATACATGTACATCTGTATGAGGGAGTTGGTGAAGTACAGTGTA